CCTATGATTTAAAAAACAAATGGAGACAGTGATTACAAATATAGTTTATGGGAACACAATGTATAAAGATGTTAATTTGTGACAACAACAACAAAAAGAGGAGAAAGAAAGCTATATAGGAGCAGAGATTTTATATACCATTGAAGCTACGAAGAGCTCTGGAAGCACAGCGGTTAAGCTCTTGGCAGCTAACAGAAAGGTCAGCAGTCAGAATTCACCAATTATTCCATGGGAGGAGATGTGGCAGTCTACTTCCTTAAAGATTATAGCCTTGGAAAATCCTATGGGGTAGTTCTACTCTGCCCTATAAGGTCACTATCTCATGGGATTGATTCAACAGCACTGAGTTATTGAAGCTAATGTGGTATTATTTAAAACAGATCATTATAAGGTTAGGAAGTTAACTGAAACACACAAGGCAACCAGTAAGAAAATAACTAAAAAAAAATACACAGAAAGGAATCAAAATGGTATATTAGCAAAAATTAAAAAGAAATTAAAGAGGCAACAGTGGAGGAAATAAAAACAAAAACGCTACAATACAAACAGAAAGCACATAACAAATGAGCATATGTCCTTCCTCTGAGCAATTAACTTTCATTGTGAATGGATTAAAACCTCTCATTAAAAAGCAGAAATTGGAAGAATGAAGTAAAAACATGATTCATCTCTACTGTCATTGAATCAATCTCATGAGATCTACCCCATAGGGTTTTCCAAGGCTATAATATTTACGAAAGTAGACTGACATGTCTTCTCCCAGAGAATAATTTGAGAGTCCTAACTGCCGACCCTTCTGTTAGCTGCCAAGAGCTTAATCACTGTGCTACCATACCAGAGCTCCTCTTAGCTTCAATGGTCTACACAAGACCTACTTTAGATACAAAGGTACAAATACGATGAAAGTTAAAAGATGGAAAAGATATTACAGGGAACTTTTAACAGAAAGAGAGCTGGGGTGGCTATACTAGTATTAGACAAAATAGAATTTAAGCCAAAATAATGTTACAAGAGACAAAGAAGGATATTACATATTAGTGAAAGTGCCAATACAGCAAGATAGAACAATTATAAACATATATTTATCTAACAACACAGCCCTAAAATACATGAATTCAAGGAAGCAATAGACAGTTTTACAATATTAGTTGGAGTCCTTAATATATCAGTTTCAATAATGGACAGAACATCTAGACATAAGATCAAGAAGGAAACAGAGGACTTGTACACACTATAAACTAATTAGACCTAACAAACATATACAGAATCCTCCATCCAAAAACAACCAAATCAAAAAACTTACTGTTGTCGAGTCAGTTTGACTCAGAGTGACCCCTCCTTGGGTTTCTGAGGCGGTATCTCTACAGAAGTAGACTGTCCAATCTTCCTTCTGAGGAGTGGCTTGGTGAGTTTGAACCACCAGCCTTCTGGTTAGCAGTCAAATACCTTAGGCACTATGCTACCAGAGCTCCCAAAGAACATACATTTTTCTTAAATGCCCATAAACATTCCACAGGACAGGTAATATTTGATGCCTCAAAATAATTCTCAGTAAATTTAAATACACTGAAAACATTCAATGTACCTTCAGTGACCACAATAGAATGAAATCAGAAGTCTGTAACAGAATGTAAATTGAAAATTCACAAATCTGTGGAAATTCAACAACATGCTTTTAAACAACCAATGGATCAAAGAAGAAATCACAAGGGAAAAGTAGAAAATACTACAAGATGAACAAAAACAAAAAGACAACATACGAAAATGTATGGATTGTGGCTGAAGATGCACTTAGCAGGCAATTTATTGCTGAAATGCTTATATTAAAAAAGAAAAGAAAAATCTCAAATCAATAACTAACTTTACACTTTAAGGAAGTGTCTACAAAGAAGAGTAAATCAAACCCCAAGTAAGCTGAAAGAAGAAAATACTAAAAATTAGAGATTTCTGAAATAGAGAATAGAAAAACAATAGAGATAATTAACAAAATCAAAGTTGTTTGTTTGAAAAGATCAACAAAATTGGCAAATTTCTAAATAGACTGACTAAAGGGGGGGGGGGGGAGACAAACCAGAAAAGACTCGATTTTCTAAAACCAGAATGAAAATAGGGACATTACTACTCACCTTACAGAAATAGCAGATAGTAAGAGAATACAATGAACATTATACATGTCTGAGTTCTCTAATGCTGCTGTAACAGAAATAGCACAAGTGGATGGCTTTAACAAGGAGGAATTCATTCTCTCATAGTTTAGGAGGCTTGAAGTCCAAATTGAGAGTGCTGGCTCTAGGAGCTGGGTGAAGGGCCTCTGACTTGGGCTTCAGCTCTGCCTCTTATTCTATGCCCACCGAACCTAGAGGCATCTCTTATCTCAGGCAGCTGCTGATTACTGAGGCTGATGAACCCAAAGTCAGCAGGTAAAATGGTACAGTTCCAAGATCAGCAGGCAACAAAGCAGGCCACTAGTTCAAGTCCAGGAACAATCCCAAGATCATCAGGCAACATGGCAGGCCACTGAGATGAAGACTCTGCCAAATGCAGGATCCAGATGTGTCAAAAAGCTAGGGACTGTCCTCAAAGCTTCCCCATATATACTAGAAGCAGGCAACACCCCAAAAGCAACTAATTAGGAGCTCACAACAGATTTCACCATGGAACTGATTCCAATCTCATCATGGGGAACAAATGAATCCAGCTGCCAAGCACTCAAAAAACCAAAGCCCAGCCAAGTTAACACACAACCTTAACTACCATAATACATTGACAAATTCAGTAATTTGTAAGAAGTGGAAAATTTTTAGAAACACAAACTATTAAAACTGACTAAAATAGAAACAGAAAATCTGTGCAAACTATAAAAGGTAAGGAAACTGAATCCATAACGATAAACCTTCCAGCAAAGTAAGTCCTGGACCAGACAGCTTCACTCATAATTTTACCAAACAGCTCTACGAAGAAACCCTTCTAAAATACAAGAGAGAAAGGAACACCTCTCAAGTCATTCCATGAGGACATTACCCTGATACCAAAGCCAAAGAAAGGACAAGAAAATTATATACCAAAACTACATACCTTATAAATACAGATGCAATATCCTCAATAAAACACTAGCAAACCAAACCTAATAGCATATTAAAAGAATTACACGCCATGCAAGTGAGGTTTCTTTCAGAAATGCAAGGGTGGGTTCAACATAGGAAAATCAATTAATGTACATCACATTAATTAAAAGAATGGGAAAAAAAAAAAAAAAAAACCCATGCTCTCTCAGTTTATGCAGGAAAAACATTTGATAAAATAATTCAGTTATAAAAAGGAATAAAGCACCCTTTCATAATAAACATACTTAAAACATATGAGCAAAGGAAGTAAAGAGTAATTTTTCCCAAGAAGACATACAAATGGCCAAAACGCACATGAAAAGATGATCAACATCATTAGTCATTATTGTTGTTGTTCTGTGCCATCAAATATATGTCGACTCACAGCCACCCTGTAGGACACGGCAGAACTGCCCACAGGATTTTCTGGGCTGCATCTTTACAGGAGCAGATTATCAGATCTTTCTCCAGAGCAGCTACTAACGGGTTCAAATCATCAACTTTTTGGTTAGCAGCCTAGTGCTTAACCACTGAGCCACCAGGACTCCTTTTATTAGTCATTAGGGAAATGCTAATTATAACCACAATGAAAAATTTTTGTTTGGGGTGCACTAAGTATAGGAGCTCTGGTAGCATAGTGGCTAAAGCACTTGACTGCTAACCAGAAGGCTGGCGGTTCAAACCCACCAGCCACTCCTCGGAAGGAAGGTTGGGCAATCCTACTTCCGTAGTGATACTGCCTCGGAAACCCAAGGAGGGGTCGCTATGAGTCGGGGCCAACTCGACGGCACATAACAACACAACAACAAGTATATGTTAATGGTGAGTAATCTGGAGAAGTATAGAGAGAATGGTTGTACAACTTGAAGAATGTAATCAATGTCACTGACTTATACACGTAGAAATTATTCGGGGAAAAAAAATAAACCACAATGAAATACTACTTTACACTAGGATGACTTTAATTTTTTTTTAAAAAAGGAAATAACAAGTATTGGGAAGGATGTGGACAAGCTGGAACCCTCATCCATTGCTGGCAGGAATATAAAAATGTGTTTGTAGTTCCTCAAATAAAAATGGTTTGTAGTTCCTCAAAAAGTTAAACACAGAATTAACCATGTGACACAGAACTTACACTCCTACGTATGTACTTAAAAAGAACTGAAAATAGGTACTCAAATACTTGCACACGAATGTTCACAGCAGAACTATCACAACAGCCAAAAGATGGAAACTCAAATGTCTATCAATAGATTAATGAACAAACAAAAAGGGATACAGACAAACAAGAGTATTATTCAGTTGTAAAAATGAATGAAGTACTGATATATGCTATAAAACACAGATCAACCTTGAAAACATTAGGTTAAATGAAAGAAATCAGACACAAAAGGTCACATATTACGTGATTCCATTTATATGAAATATCCATAATAGACAGATCAGAGTCAGAAAGCAGACTCATGGTTACCAAGAGCTGGGGGAAAGGGGAAATGAGCAGTGCTGCATAATAGGTACAGGGTTTGGGGTGATGAAAATGTTTTTAGAACTTGATATAGGTGGTAATTATACATTTGAACATACTGATAAATACACAAAAGGTCACATATTACGTGATTCCATTTATATGAAATATCCATAATAGACAGATCAGAGTCAGAAAGCAGACTCGTGGTTACCAAGAGCTGGGGGAAAGGGGAAATGAGCAGTGCTGCATAACAGGTACAGGGTTTGGGGTGATGAAAATGTTTTTACAACTTGATATAGGTGGTAATTACACAACATTTGAACATACTAATAAATATCACTGAATTTCATACTTCATAATAGTTATTTTATATTACGTGAGTTTCACCTCAATAAAAACAGAATACGATTATAGATTTTTTTACTAACCCGATGAATAATTCCAGCAGAATGCAGGTGCTTGATTCCACACAGCATCTGATAGAGAAGGTAGGACATTCTTTCATGATCTAGTTCCATCTGAATCACTTGGCAAAGATTTGCATCCATGAGCTCCATAACTATGTAACTTCATGGGTGAAAAAAAGATGACAGATAAAATATGCAGCAACAATCTAAGAATAATGTACTAACAATAAAAATTTAATTACCACACTTACACATCTTGAAATTCTTCTAGGGATTTCTGTGGTGTGAACACATTCAAAAGGCCAATTATCTGTGGTAAAAACAGAGAAAAATTAGAAACCACTTTATAATACTTTCATTTGGGAACTGCAAATACAGGGGTTAAAAAATTCCAACACTGGTTTAAAATCTTCCAATTTCATTTTTGAAACTCATGTAATCTCTTATTTTCATAGTTAAAACTTTATCAACAGAAACTTTACATAACCCATTCCATTTATGAAAATACTCAATTACTACAGATCACACTCAGATGCTAACTGAAAAGTTGGAGGTTCAAGTTCACCCAGAGGCATGATGAAAGGAAAGCCTGATGATCTACTTTTGAAAAATCACAACCACTGGAAATCCTATAGAGTACAGTTCTACTCTGATACACAGGCAGCCACCAACAGTCAGAGTCAATTTCAATGGCAATTATTATTTTTTTAAATTTATGAAAGCCTCTACATTAATTGTCAACAAATCTTAAAAATTTTCCACTAGTTCTTTATTCCACTCAATATCTCTTTCTCTCTCTAATTTCAGCCCTTTCCCTGTTTCTTTCATAATACTGCACAGTTTCAGTTTTCTATATTCCTAGTCTCTCCTACTGATTGGCCTATGGGAAGAATGCTTGCCCCACTGCTTTGTCTTCAACACTACTCTATCTGTACTTTTCCCCCAAATGGTGTATCTTTCTCTCCAAACATCTCTATGTGGCTAATCCCAAAACATGTCTTAAAAGCCTGTGCTTACTGTCAACCACTTGTAAGGCGATCTATGTTGGAGATCCTGGATAGAGTGGGAGAACAATGTGAAACTAAACTCAAAATCATAAAAAAAAAGTGACCAGGTTTGCTGGTCTGATAAAAGCCTGGTGAACCCCCTGAGACTATGGCTCCTAGCTGTCCTTTGGGTCTGGAATTGAACCCACTCCTGTGGCTTCCAGCCAAACAAAAGACAGGCATATGAGCTTAACGTTTACATTAGGCAGATACACTCCTTGGAGAGATCAATCATGGGAGAATAAAAGGGCTGTGTATGCACAGGGAGACAGCTCAGGGAGCAGGAATGCATAGGAGGGAAGAGCACAAGGAAGAGGCAATTATGAGGAGGAAGTGGAAAAGAGCTGGTGCACTGTAGGAAATCGCAGTCAATGTCATGACCCAAAGTATATGTGAACTGCTATATGCAAAATGAATTTGTTCTGTAAACTTTCACCCAAATAAAAATTTAAAAAAAAGCTTGTGCTTAGCATGAGTCTCAAATACATATTGCCACTTTACATGAACGTCTCACAAACTTAAAATTGAACTGAATCAAAGATTCAATTCAATTCAGTTCAACTGAACTGAATCCCACTGAAACCCTTTATTTTTCTACTGTGCCCTCTCCATTACAGTAAGAGAACCAGAGTGATTTTCAACTTTTTTAATTATTTACACTGAAATACTACAAGAATACTGGCCATTCTATTGTCAGTCTCAACTTCAATCTGTTCTTTCTATTCTGTATGCTACTTATACAGAATTTCCTATATTCTATATATGCTACTTATATAGAATTCTAATTTCTCATCTATACTGTTCATGTTATAATTACCTCTAGAACTAAGTTCCCTGAGAATGCTTTTCTGCAAATCCAGCTACTACTTTACTGCCTGTAATATGGTAAAAGAAAAGAGCTGATCTTATCACTCACCTGAAAAACTTCAAGCCAACAAATTTGAAAACTCTCTAACAGTACATTTAAGGCCTTCCATAATAGCAACTCATTGAATCTCCTGCAAAGCTTTCTGTTAAATTTTACAGTTTGGCCATACTAAGTTAATATCAATAATGTATTTTTTAAACTACTCAACACCTTTAAACATTCTATTCCCTAAGTGTGTCGTTTACCTACTGAATTTAGTTATTTTCAAGATAGATCTCTTTTGTAGAATCTGACAACCTCTAAACCCTTGAAAGAGCTGAATATTCTCTCCACTCTGTCTCCACAGTACTTATGTTATTATGGAATTCAATACACTGTAGTATAGTCTCATTTTCACAACAGCCTTGTCCCCACTAGGATGCTTTTTAGAAAAAAATAGTTCTTACTCACTTTTATAGCCCTACTTACAAAGCATGATCTCTGACATATTTTTGGATGGGAATATCTTTGTAGACATAAGCTGTAAGAGGGCAGAGTCTATGCTATTCATCTAAACATAAAGCTTTGCTTATAAAAGTTATTCAAATATTTGTTCAGTGAATAAATTAAGAAAAATAACACTCAGACCAAAAAGGATAAAACAAATTTGTTTAAGATAGGGGAAATGATATTCAGAAAAGGACAATAAATATTGTATGAGACTACTACTATAAAGTTAAGGAACGATTTATACATAGAAAGAATCATTCTTTGAAGTCTGCCAAAGGTGAAAGGGGAAGGGAAGGTAAATCACTGACTAGAAGGTAAACTGTATTAACTTGGGTGAAGGGAAAGGCAATATACAGTAAGGGGGAGGTTAGTACAAAATGATCAAGTAGAGGGCAGGGAGGATGCTAAAGGGACAAGGAGGCACCATCTTGTGACCTCCTCTACACAAGAGCAAAAGAGAATCACCATCAGCAGCCCAAGGCCTGCTCTTATGAGGCCAGACATGCCGCCACCCTCCAGCGCTCTTACAAACCTTGATGCCTACTGTCCCTCCCACAGCACCAACCACCTCTCTGCTAGGTTTGATAATTCACTGCAGTGGCCACACAGAACTGACAGATTATGGGATTATTAGGGAAGCAAGAGGATACATGTCAAGATCAGGAACATGCTCAGTGTCTTTCAGCCGGCCGGCTCTCTCAGTAGCATGTCTCTGTCTCAGCAATGTCTCTCTCTTGCATCTCTCTCTCAGCAGCGTGTCTCACTCAGCCAGTAGTCAGACAGAGATTCTTTCCTCTGCCTGTAGGAGGGTTCATTTTAAGCCTGGCAAAGTGGCAAAACTAACCAATCCTAACATCAGAATTCTTCACACCTGAGAGAAAGTGAACTTCCCAGAAAATTATCTTGTACTACTCGCAACAGAAATACCCCAGGTGGGTAACTTTAACAAGCAGCTACTCAGCTGCTTATGGCAAAGTGAAAGTTACAAAGACTATGGCTAGAAAAGCCATACCATGTAATTTACTATACCACAGAGGAGCACAAGAATTAAAGGCAACAAACGTGAATACTATTACATACACAACCCTGCAATAACAGTAATAACAATAATTTACAAGTGGATACACAGACGGATATTCAAGCTAAACAGGGGTGGAAAGACAAATGGGACTACACCAATGAATATATACAAATAGGTTTGACAGAAGATATTTGTGCCTATGTATTTATATATGCTGTAAATATAACCATGAAAGTAGTAGAGCATACAGGGGACAAAGTTATGAAAATGTCTCAGTCATAACTGAAACCTCGAAAGAATGAGTTGCTGGGCATGAGTCTGTGTGTAAACTTTTTCTTAACTTTTTAAAGTAGTGGTCTCATATAATATTTATTTTCCTTTTGTGAATATCACTTTCCCTATCTTAAACAAATTTGTTTTATCATTTCTGGTCTATTATTTTTCTGAATTTATTTGCTTAACAAATAAGCTCTATGGTTAGACGAATAACAGTCTCAGGGGACACTAAGGTGAACTGGCATAACACAGTCCACAAAGACAATGTTCTACATTTCACTCTGGTGAGTAGTGACTAGGGTCTTAAAAGCTTATGAGCAGCCACCTAAGATGCAACTATTAATCTTTCTTCATCTGGAGCAAAGAAGAATGAAGAAAATCACAGATGCATGGAAACAATTAATCCAAAGAACTAATGGACCACACAAACCCTCCATGACCCTGAGACCAGAAGAACCATATGGCACCCAGCTACTTACCACTGCTGACTGCTCTGAAATGGATCACAGTAAGAGGTTCCAGATAACAGTGGGGGAAAAATGTGGAAAACTCAAACTGACTGAAAAAAAGACCCAGCTTACTGGTCAGATGACGACTGGTGGAACATCTGAGATTATAATGTTTAGACATCCTTCAAGCTGGGAACTAAAGTCAACCCCCATGGCTCAACTTTCAGCCAAATTACAGACAGCCCTATAAGGTAACAGTAATATCAAGAGGGTATGCACCCATTAGAATAACAAACCATATGAGTTCAAGAGGGTAGCATTTGCTCAGGGATACCTTAAGGAAGATGAAGAGGATGGGGACAAAAGGAAGGAGTGGGTGCAGGGAGGAAGCAAGAAGAATGCTGTTGCATTTGTGGTGACTGTAGTGATTGTCACAAAAAAAAGTGTATGGATTGTTGAATTGAAAAACAATATGCTTGTTAACTTTCACCCAAATCACAACAAAATAAATAAACAAACAAAAGAGATAGGGGAAATGATATTAAGAGAGCATCTAGCTACTGTAAATGAAGTCTCCGAACCAAGTAAACTGCACAGTTGAAGACTTGGAAAAGTAGTAAAACTATTCTCATTAACATCTATGAAATCCTAGAGTCAACAAGAGGTGTTAAAGATGAAAGGCATACTGAGATAGAAAGTAAATTAGTGATTATTTAGGATTGAGGGATATGGAGATGATACCTAAAGGAAACGGGGTTTCTTTTTGAGGTAATGAAAATATTCTAGAATTGACTGTGATTACGATTGTACCTATCTGTGAACATACTAAAGACCAATGAATTATACACTTTAAATGGGTGAATTTTATAGCATGTAAAATTACATGTTTTAAAAAAACTGTTACTAGAAAGAGATTAAAGGCAGTCAGTTGTCTCATTTTACACAAAAGGAAAAAAAAATCTATCAATTATAGATTGAATAGCCAAGCAAAAGTCAAAAAGTGATTAAATGGGTGGTATACTACTACTTTGAAAGAAGTACTAATTATCAGGAGCAGGTAAAATTTGTTTATTTATTTCCTTGTGTTTAAAAAAGAAAGAAAAATAGCAGTAGATCAAAGAAATGCAGTAATATCCAGTATATGAAAATTTCAAGATTTCAGAAAGACCTTTTGAAAAGGTCTCTAGTAACGACACCCAAGTGAATAAAATGAAGAACTGGGAAGAGCTGGGTAACTTTCATAGTTAGACATATATAATTTTTTGAAGTATACCCAAAAGTTGTTAATGAACTACTCTGGCTATTACGAAGGCACCCTGAGGAAAACTGGGAAGTTAAGTCAAGGCGTGAAAAATGAGAACAAGAAAAAAATCCTAATAGTCCAGAACAGAAAACAAATTTCACATGTGAAACGTAATAGGGAGAAAAAGAAAGTACATGTTGGAGAAACAAAACTTGTCAAGTCAATTCTGACTCAGTGATAGGACAGAGTAGAATTATTCCATAGGGTTTCCAAGGCTGAAATCTTTACAGAAGCAGACTGCCACATTTTTCTGCTGCAAAGTGGCTGGTGGATCCAAACTGCCAACCTTTCAGTTAGTAGCCAAGTGCTTAAACACTGTGAAACCCAAACCCAACCAAACCAAACCAAACCCACTGCCACTGAGTTGATTCCAACTCAAGTGACCCTACAGGACAGAGTAGAATTATTCCATATGCTTTCCAAGGCTGTAAATCTTTATGGAAGCAGACTGCCTCATCTTTCTTCCACAGAGTGCCTGGTAGGTTTGAACCGCTGACTTTTTGGTTATAAACTGAGTGCTTTAACCACTATGCCACCAGAATTCGTTGACTGCACAAGTAGGGCTCCTTAAATAGAAAGTACTACCCTTAGTTTCCCAAAAGCAAAAGCAAAACAAAACAAAACACAAATCTCAAAAGCATCTTGGGAAAAACCAGAGGTGTTTGGACCAATGAAGAGAAGATACATACAAAACATGAAATTGTTTAAAAAGCAGGACATTTCAAAAACCACCATCAGGTAGTGGAAAAAATTCAGTTACCCTTCTTGGTTTTCCCACATTTAGTTTCATATTCATTCATCAAGCAAGTAAGTTTTGAGCACCTACTCTGTGCCAGCACCTTTCTAGGTACTAAGGGCACTGCCTGGATGCATCTGTCCCAACCCTATAAAAGGGCTAATCATGTAACACACGCTTCCACATTCCCCATTCCCCATTTAGTCCATGCTCTAACCCAGGCTCCAGAGGTTAGAGTCAATGTACTTCTCGTTCATGGAAAACTAAGCCAATGCTGCCACCATAATCACCAGGAAACCTGGTCCACAGGTCACAATGGGCTCTGTCTAGGGTCAGGAGGCCATCAGCAAAACCCTAAGGAACAAAATACCTATATCCAACCTGGAGTAAGAATGGTTGCTACAACTTCTTCCCTTAATACAGCTGTCACTGAGTAACTCTAACCTCCACTCTCCACCACAGGGTTTTCTGTCTCTAGGCCTACTTTATTTTACTCTGTACTTTCTGGGAGGCCCCTTTCCTTCTTTAATCTGACCTTTACTTCATCTTTAAGAGTTAGCCCAGGTCTATCCCTTCTTCAAAGCCTTTCCATTTTATTCAATGCTCACATCAATCTCCTGTCCCCAAGATCTTAGCATTTATTGTCTGTCTGCCATCATTTGGCAATTAAACTTCTGTTCTGTGACATCTGGTATGTGACTTTTTATGTACTTATTTTGTCTTCAAAAGAACAATGTAAGCTCCCAAATAAAGAATCTAAATTTGAACCTTCATCAATTTGTCCCCTACTAATTAACTCAATAGGAGCTCTGGTGGCATAGTGCCTAAGGCACTAGACTGTTAACCAGAAGGCTGGTGGTTCAAACCCACCAGCCACTCCTCAGAAGGAAGGTTGGGTAATCTACTTCTGTAGTGATACTGCCTTGGAAACCGAAGAAGGAGTCACTATGTGTCGGGTCCAACTGGACAGCAAACAACAATAACAATCAACTTAATGAGTCAGAACTTTTGATACATAGTTAGCTCGCAAAATGTGTTAAATTCAATCAGAATGTACTGAGCTCATTATATTCTATAAACTCCCTTGAACAAAATTTCTCCTGCCAGACACTCAGTTTAATACTTTATAAAACTATCTCTAGCATTCACTCTAGCATTATTTAGTTTATTTTCCCTCAGCTTGGAGAAATCATTAAAATAATTATATATTTATCAGTAAGCTTAATTTGGAGCTCTGGTAGCATAGTGCCCAAGGCACCTGACTGCTAACCAGAAGGCTGGTGGTTCAACGGAAAGGTTGGGCAATCTATTTCCATAGTGATACCGCCTCGGAAACTCAAGGAGGGGTTGCTATGAGTCGGGTCCAACTCGACGGCATATAACAACAAGAAGCTTAATTTAAGTGAGTTTTAAAAAATAGGACTAATTACTCTCAAAATGTGTAAAAGTTGCAAGTGGAAGCCTTTACAATCATATCAGAGGAATGTATATCTAATTCCATTTAAATATTTCCATGAAGTTTCTGCTTCACTGCTTTATAATCACTGGCTATCTTCAACATAAAGGAGCTCTGGTGGTCTAGTGGGTAAGGCATTTTTGGCTTCTAACCAGAAAGTCAGCATTTTAAACCCACCAGCTACTCCATGGGAGAAAGATGAGGCAATATACTTCCGCAAAGATTTACACCCTTGGAAGCCCAATGGGGGTCGCTATGAGTCAGAATCAATTCAATGGCAGTGGTTTTGTTTTGTTTTGTCTTGCTTTTGGATAGCTTCAACACAAAATGACAAGTGACTACTGCCATCAGTGAAAGGGATGAGGAGGGTAGGGAGAAATGATCTGAGTTTTATATCCAACATTATTAAATAATAATAAATAATTAAGAAAGTTGCAGTGTCAAGTTATAATGAGTATAATTTCTCCTCTGTGCTAAAGCTTCAGTTTTCTGAAATTTTAGCCTGATAGAAAACACAGCAGGAGATGAGATCAAGCTCAAATAATGTTCTGCTAAAGTACTTACCTCTTTAAAACTTCTTTTGCAAATTAAATGTCAGAAAATTGCTTACACAATCTAAATTTATGAAGCCATTTTCTTCTGATATAATTTAATAAAAGTCTTTGATACTCATGTAGTCATGAATAAATTCTGATTTCATCTATACTTAAGAAAACTAAAATGTTCACTTACATTTTTGTGATTAACACATTTCATAAGAACTAGCTCTCTGTAAGCCCGCTTAGCATGCGTTTGATTCTGAAATGGCCGGCTTAGCTTCTTGATTGCAACATTTCTTTCAAGAATGGCATCATAAGCTGCACTGTAATTAGAAATTTAAAAGCAACAAGCAAAAAATATTAAGCAAAAATCTGTAAAATTCCCAAAACACTCACGCAGATCCCTTACTTTCTCAAGATATAGGCAATGGATTAATTTCCTAGTCTGTGATACTTAACATGTTTCTTCTACATTAGAGCATTCTCCAATAATGTTTCCTAAAATGTTAATGGATGCAAAGGGACAAAGGACTAAGAAGACAGAGACCCCACTTGTTCACGGGGTATCCTCCAAGATTCACCTAGCACACACTATATGTACATATATTTTATATATGTACATATATTTTAATGAATATTCAGCATCACTAAATTGCTTAAAAATTAAATGAATCCATCATCCTGCACCTATACAAAGGATGACAGAATAAAGGACATGTGTGGTCATGAATTTTATTCAAAATATTTGCTGAATAAATACGCCATTTTCATCCTCTTTGTACATAACAAAATGAAGACAGAAAGAGAAAAGTGCACAGAGAGGTATCTATACTGAAAGACTATTTTACAATTTTAAAATTAAAGCCCTTAAAATCCTGTTCTGGAAGAATTTAAAAAATCAATGTTTTTAAATATGAACACAATACACCAGTATATCAGAAGCTTCTTCGTAACAGTTGATGAAACGCCTATAATTCTGGGTTATATAACATCATATTCATTTCTCTTCATAACTTCACCTACCCCATGACACTGAACAAATGGCACCATTTGACAGACCATACGACCATATGACAGATCGGAGAAACCAAAGCACAAATAAGATAAAGTGATTTAAAATGATAGATTATATGATTGAAAGAGACCTTAACAATCATTTGGATTCAATACTGCCTAATATAGGGCCAGAGGTAAAGTGTTTTGCACCAGGTTAGCCAGAAAGGTAAAAGCAAAGCTGAGACTAGAAGACTAACACATGTGTTTATGTTTTTCATACTGGATCACGTAACATATTATAAAAGACTACATATTCCTATTTATGTAGTATTTGGAAAGCTAGCACTAATTATTAAATTATTCTCTCATCTAACTGAAAACCTGAATCTGTTTTATAGCTGTCTCACCATATTAAATCAGTGTAAATATGTATGTATTAAGAAATACAAACTGTATACCCGGATACATCTGTGTATTCTATATTTTCCGTAACTGCTGCATACATACACCAAAATGTAAGTATTACAACCCTTACATAGAAAATGCCACATTTATAGATACGTTCTGCCCAAGTTTAAAACAAACAAATAAACATTAGGAGTCATGTAAAATAATTTAAAATTTTGACTGTCTTCAGATAAAGCAGATTTTATTTTCAAATTCATTCTGTTACTATTTTGATCTGTCAAATCAAAGTACTATTTCAAACTCTAAATGTTAAACCTTATCTGAATGGATTTCACTATTTGGTATCCAAGGAAATTAGATATCTAATTGTTGACGCCTAAATGTGCAAAACTCAGAATCCCCAATGCAGATACAATGAATCATTCTGTATATGGATGGGGACCCAAAAGTTAGTGATCGACACGGTGGCACTGAGGAATAGGAAAACAGAGAGAGGTACTTAGGAGGTACAGACAACAAAGAACACTTGTGCATGTACAGTACTGCTTTGTCAATGATGGCAAGCACTGATCTATGGATGGATAGATAGGTGGACAGGCTGAATGATCAGGGATGTCTAGGCAGGTGGCATTGTGTCCATGACCACGTATAGGTTTGGAAGATGATGTTTCTACACATGTATTTGTATGTGTAATAAGACTGTCCAGGTGTACAGTAGAGCTGACAAGGGACAAGGTTGTGGTGGCTTCTTGGCCACAGCCAGCTACCCAGAAAGAATGAGTAGTTGGATCTGTGGGCTTGGGACCATGGTCACAGGGGACATCAAGCTCAATTGGCATAACGTACTACACAAAATCAATGTTCAACATCCTACTTTGGTGAGTTGTGACTGGGGTCGTAAAAGTTTTCAAGTGGCCGTCTAGGTGCAAAGATAGGTCTCTCCTGATCCAGAGCAAAGAAGAACGAAGAAAACCAAAGATGCATGGAAACCATTAGTCCAAGGGGCTAGTAGACCATGTGATCCTCAGCCTATATGACCATGAAACCAGAACTAGATGGTGTCTGGCTACCACCATCAACCACTCAGAAAGGGATCAGTGCAGGAAATCCTAGATAGAGCGGGAGAACAATGTGGGACAAAACTCAAAATCATATTTAAAGAAAAACCAGATTTACTGGTCAGATAGAGCCTGGTGAGATTCCCCAAAACTGTGGACCCTAGTTACCTTACCCTTCAGGTCTGGAACTGAACTCACTCCTGTGGCTTCCAGCCAAACAAGGGACTGCATATAGGGTGAACATTTACATCAGGAGTGATAGATCATGGGAGAACAGAAGGGCAGTGTTTCCACAGGGAGATAGCTGGGGGTGGGGGGGGGCACGACAGTGCATGGGAGAGAAGGACACAGGGAAGAATTAACTACGGGGAAGAAGTGGGAAGAGAGTTGTTACATTGTGGGGAATTACAGTCACTGTTATGAAACTAAAATGTGTATGAAATGCTGTATGGAAAGTGAATTTGCTTTGCAAACTCTCATCCAAATCACAAAAAAAAATTTTAATTAAACTTTTATTGCTTAATATCTATTATATAGTATTTTTTAACAGAAATTATTACTTTAAGTGAAATTGTGAAGATATTTATTCCTTTGGACAGGAGGCAGTCAAAAGAGCCTTTCCAAAGTAACTTTTTTTTTTTTTTTTTTTAATTTTGGTCTTAGAATAGGTGAAGGTTCAGAAACATTCATGTATTTTTAAATACTTTTAAATATTTCATAAATAATAAAATCTTCACAACAATCCTGTAAATCAGGTGAGAAAACAAGCTTTTAAGTGTTTGTCAAGAGTCACAAAGCCAATAAATCACAGAACTAGAATCTGAAGCAAGAGCTTGTGATATTGACTATTTCACATTATTTCTTTAAATTAAATTTGTGGTCGTTCACTACCTTAAAATGATAATCAGACAATACCAGTTTATAAAATCATCTCAGTTTCCACCATTTTGAAATTATGAATTGCTTCAGTACAGAAAAGAGAATAAAATAAATTCCAATATTCTTCTTTTATACATATGTATGCAACCATACATATATTATTTTATATACTTTAAACTATATATATGTGGGCTTTGTACCTTTCTTATAAACTCAACATATCTCTGGATTATTCATATCAATATATATAAATCTAATTCATTGTAAATGTTCTGATAGTATTTCACTGACTAAATATATCAAAATTGTTGAGAGACTTGATATTGTTTCTAATTTTTTTTATTACAAATAGCAAAGAATAGGCCTATACATGTCTTTGTGTAAATATGCAAGAGTTTTTCTAGAAGCTTAGAAAATTACTAGGTTGTAAATGCTTATGATTTTTTAATAGATTCTGAAACAAATCTGGTTCAAGTAGAGGTAATAAAGATATATTCCCCCAAAGACTGGCTTAAAACACTAACGTACTTAGTGATCTAAAATCATTAGAAGAACTGTCCCAATGAGTGTTTTGCATTTCAGTTTACAAGGAGTTATGCTGATTTACAAAGACTGGGTCTTTTGTAGAAATCAGCTTGGAAATCAATTTTAAAGGTACAGGTGAGTTATAAAACAGTAGAGCAAAATGCTATTAGGTGACTTTATTCCACAGCATAAACCAAGATTTCTGAAATTCCAGAGATTCATTATAGTGTGAAACTGATGATTAAGTGAAGCTTCTTATTAAACAATTAGCTTTGGGAATAGATGTACACATGGAATTAAGCATGTCACTTAGTCCTTCCTGATTTAAGTACTTGTCTCTACATGGGTTCACGACCAAATATTTAATAACTGTTTACCTACAAATGATCATGTTAATTTATAGTTATGCTTTATGAATAAAAAAGACTAGTAATCCCTTAATAAAACAATCATGTTTTAATTTTTATTTTATTTATTTATTTTTTTGAGGAAAGCTAAATGTTTACCAAGGTATCTATATCATGAAAAGAAAAAAGGTAGCAGTTAATTTCTCTGACTACTTTTTGGTAGTAAAAACTTACCATACAATTCCTTGAGCTCCTGAGCCTATAGGTTTTAAATTCTGGTATCGTTTCAGGACTGTGAATGTAGAATCTCCAATCTCTACACTATAAAAATTGCTATCACGTTTGCTTCTGCTCATGATGGCAAGCAATTAATTTGATGGCTTCATCCAAAAATTCACTGAGGAGCTGCAAAGTGGAACAAAATTGTGAAGTCAATAAAATGAACTTGTTTAATCTTACATCTTAAAAAAAATAACTGTTCACTGACAGTAATTATAGATATAGCTAAGCTGTGTTAGAAGAGATGCTTCACTGAAAACAAAAATAGAAAGAAAAATACCATGGAGCCTAGTAAGCATGTGCCATACTTAAAGAAATGACTGGTTTTTTTTTTTTTAAAAAAAATAACAAAATAAAATAAACTTTTACTACAATAAACAGTTTCTCTAACATGGAAGTTACCAGTATTAATACAGGAAGAGAGTAACAAAAAGAAACAAATAATTATAATTAAACATGTTTTGAAAGTCACTTTCAGAGTTTAAAGTTTAAAACCAATGCTCTTTACATATATACATAGGTGTATGTGTGTGTGTGTGTATATATATATATATATATATACATATAAATATATAAATGTTTGAGGACTAAGATGCTCCTGACCTCCATGACATTTTTAATTGCCTCCTATGCATATGAAAGCCAGACAATGAATAATGAAGATCAAAGAAGAACTGATGCATTTGAATTATGGTGTTGGTGAAGAATACTGGATACATCATGGGCTGCCAGAAGAATGAACAAATCTGTCTTGGAAGAAGTACAGCCAGAATGTTCCTTAGAAGCAAAGATGGTGAGACTTTGCCTCAGGTACTTTTGGATATGTTATCAGGAGGAACCAACAACTGGAGAAGAATATCATGTTTGATAAAGCAGGGGGTCAACGAAAAAGAAGACCCTCAAGGAGATGGCCTGAGACAGTGGCTGCAACATGGTTCAAACACAGCAAGGACAGTGAGTCCAGTGCAGGATCAGGCAGCCCTTCATTCTGTTGTGTACTGGGGCTCTGCGAACCAGAACCAACTCAACAGTACATAACAACAACAACATTATATAGTAATGAAACATTAATTTTTGTGAATAACTGATAAACTTTCATTCAAACCAAATTAATATTCCCATTCTAAGTGTCCAACAACAAATTAACAAGCTAGGAAGTTGGTTGGCACACACTGCCTCTACTGAAAAATAAAGGGATCACAGTGCTTTCACTGAAACAGGCCTTTTATCCCCTCATCTCCCAAAACATCCTGGTATAATGCATATTTTGAGGATGTAACGGTCAAAAGAATGAGAAGCAGCGTAGGAACGAGATGATCTAGAAAAGAGATCATTTAGTATAAAGCTGGAAGCATTAAACAGTATTGCTCTAAACTGGGACATCAAAGCGACCAATGAAGTTCTGCCCAGAGTCCTTTACCATCTGCTGAATTTTAATTCAAGGAAGTTCTTTTCTACTCATTTAAATATTGTTATTTAAAAACTATTACTACCCATTCTTGTGGCTATTGTTGTTAGGTGTTGTTGAGTCGGTTCTGACTCATCATGACCCTACGTACAACAGTCCTGCGCTACCCTCACAACTCTTGCTATGACCTCATTGTTACAACCACTGTGTCGGTCCATCCTGTTGAGGGTCTTCCTCTTTTTTTGCTGACTCTCTTTAACAAGTATGATGTTCTTCTCCAGCGACTGGTCCTTCCCTGACATTATGTTCAAAGTACATGAGATGAATTATTGCCATTCTCACTTCTAAGGAGCATTCTGGCTGTCTCTCCAAAACAGATTTGTTCATTCTTCTGGCAGTCTATGATACATACAATATTTTCCATCAAAGCATCAATTCTTCTTTAGTCTCTTCTTTATTCATTGTCCAGCTTTTTGTATGCTTACGAAGCAAATGAAAATACTATGACTTGGGTCAGGTGCACCTAAGTCTTCAACATGACATCTTTGCTTTTTCCCCACTTTAAAGAGGTCTTCTGTGCCAGACTTGCCTAATGCAATACATCGTTAGATTTCTAGACTGTCTCTTCCATGAGCATTGACTGTGGATACAAGGAAAATGAAATTCTTACCAACTTCAGTATTTTCTCCATTTATCATGATGTTGTTTATTTGTCCAGTTGTGAGGATTTTTGTTTTCTTTATACTGAAGTGTAATCCAGATTGAAGTCTTTATACAGTCTTTGATATTCATCAGCAAGTGCTTCTAGTCATCTTCACTTTCAGCAAGTGAGGTTATATCATGTGCATATCACAGGTTGTTAGTAAGTCTTCCTCTAATCCTTATTCTGCATTCATCTTCATGTAGTCTTACTTCTCAGATTATTTGCTCAGCATAAAAACTGAGTAAGTATAGTGAAAGGATATAACCCTGACACACACCTTTACTGATCCTCACTAGCTGAAAATGCATGCAAGACTGTTCTAATTTTCTCCTTTCTTCCCCAATAAACTAGTTAAGTTAAAGAATTCCTGAGTTGTTTTTTTTTTTTTTTTTTTTTTTTATGGTGTGTGTGTACATGTGGGGAGCCCTGGTGGTATAGTGGTTAAAGCATTTGGTTACTAACCCTAAAGGGCAGCTGTCTGAGCCCATCAGCTCCTCCACACGAAGAGGTTGTCTACTTCTCTTAAGATATGTAACCTTAAAAACCTATAGTGCAGTTCTACTCTGCCCTATAGGGTCACCATGAGTCAGCAGGTTTGGTTTTTGGTTTGGTATGTGTGGTTGTAACGTGGCACAAATGTTAAAGTGCTTGACTACCAGCTGAAGGTTGATGGATTGATCCTTCGCAGAGGCACCTTGAGACACAGGCTTGGCAATCTAATCGTGAAAGGTCAGAGCCTTAAAAATCCTATGAAGCAGTTCTACTCTGCACATATGGGTTTGCCATGAGCCTGAATCAATCCTATGTCAACTAACCACAAGAACCAAAAAAAAAAAAAAACCACCTTACTGCCACTGAGTTGGATCCAACTCAGAGAGACCCCTCCTTGTGTTTCTGAGGCAGTATCTCTATGGAAGTAGACTGCCCAATCTCCCTTCTGAGGAGTGGCTAGTGGCTTTGAACTGCCAGCCTTCTGGTAGCAGTCAAATGCTTTAGGAACTATGCCACAAGAAGACAACATAAGAAGGAAAAAAAAAAAAAAAAATTAATGAAAAGACTTACAGTGCAAAGGATTAATTCAGCAAATATTTATTAAATGCCTACTATGCCCTGGGGCTCATGAACTACGACAAGAAGCTGAATCTATATCAAGTATGATAGAAACCACTAGAAGGTAGAGAGCAATGGAATGTGGTGATCAGATGATGTGGAGATTATTTTGTTGGAGAAAGGAGGAGCAAGAGTGGAAACAGTAAAACCAAAAAGACTACTGCATAAATCTAGATGAGATAAGGATTTTCAGGTCTGATACCCAAAACCAAAAAAACCAAACCCTACTGTTGAGTTCTTTTTATATTCTAGATCCATGATTTTTTGCAATCTACTTCCATAGTGATACCACCTTGGAAACCCAAGGAGGGGTCACTTGACAGCAGCACATTGCGTTTGCGCTGCATGTGATCTGCAACTACTTTCTCCCAATGTATAACTTACCTTTCCATGCCCTTAATAGTCTTTCACAGAGCAAAACTTTTAAATTTTGATGAACTCAAATTTATCAATTACTCCGTTTATGGAATTTTCCAGTAATGTATCAGACAGCATTTCACTGCTATTCATAAAGTATTCACTGGCCAATTCTTTCAGAAGTGGATGGCCTCTTCCTTCTTCTGAGTCTGTCTCAGTACAACAAACTGATAGACAAGTTCATCTCTCTTAGCTGTTCCAAACTGCTCTGTTCACTTCCTGGGCTCCCTCAGCCACTCCAAATCCACTATGCCACATCGCTTCCTTCCCAGCCTCCCTCAGCTGCTTCAAATCCACTGCATTTCCTCACATGTGAGAGATGGACAATGAATAAGGACAACCGAAGAAGAGGTGATGCTTTTGAGTTGTGATGTTGGTGAAGAAAGTACCATGGACTGCTAAAAGAACTAACAAATCTGTCCTGGAAGAAGGGCAGCCAGAATGCTCCTTGGAAGTGAGAATGGCCAGACTTCATCTGACCTACTTCGGTCATGTTGTCAGAAGGGAACATTCTCTGGAGAAGGATATCATGTTCGGTAAAGTGGAGGGTTAACAAAAAAGAGGAAGGCCCTCAATGACATGCATTGACACAGTGGCTGCAATGATGGGCTCAGGTAAAGCAAGGATCATGAGGCTGGCACAGGATGGGGCAGTGTTTCATTCTGTTGTACACAAAGTCGCTGTGAGTGGGAGACAACTCGATGGCACCTAACAAGAACAACAATAACCTTTATGGATTGTACTCTATCTAGGTCAAGAAAATTTTCTATGCTTTTTATAAACATTTTTATAGTTTTACATTTAGATTTAGACCCATTTCATATTAATTTTTGTATAAGGTGTGAGTTTAGGTCATGGTCTATATTTGGTGGGTTATGAATGTCTCTTTCAATACCAGTTGTAGTAAAGACTATCCTTTCTTCATTTATTTTGCACCTTTACAAAATTCAGCTGGATGCATTCGTGTGAGTTGCTATGTAAGTGGCACAGTTTTTATTCAACTCCTAAGCTGAAGGCTGGTGGTTCAAACCCATCCACCAGTACCACTGAAGAAGAGAAGAGGCCTGGCAAAATACCTTTCTATTAAGATTACAGCCAAGAGCAGTTCTACTCTAAAACACATGGGGTTACCTGCCACGAATCAGAATCAACTCAATAGCAACTGAAAACAACTTATCTAGACTTTTTATTCTATTTCACTAATCTATCAAATGGCCAATACTACACTATTTTGACTAACTAGCTACATGTTTTACTTAACATCAGGTAGCATGATTCCTCCAACTTTACTCTCATTATTCAAAATTACTTTCAGTTACTTAGTCTTTCCATATAAATTTTAGAATGAAATTTAGCTACAAAAAACACTGCTAGGATTTTGATAGGAATTGTTAAATTTCAGCAAACAAGGTGGTGTCATCTGCACATCACAGTGTGTTAATAAGAATTCCTTTAGTCCTGATGCTGCCTTCTTCTTCATATAGTCCAGCTTCTCAGATTA